TGGGGTGTTGTTGAAGGCCCCTTCAATATCCAAGAAGGTGCCTATCAAAAAGCCCCCTTGCTGGAGCTGCTTCTACATCCTGTGGACGACCGTGTGGAGAGCCGATATGCTCGAGTGGCCAGCCCGGTAGGCGTGCTGCTCTGCATGCAACGGATACCGAGCCAGCACACAATCCCTAATGTAAACATCGACCAGCTTTTCCAATGTCTTAAGAAGGAACGAGGTCAAGCTGATCGGTCTGAAGTCTTCGCCGTGACATACTCCGCTCGCCCCACTTTGGGGATGAAGACGACTCTCGCCTCCCTCCACGCTTGGGGGGTATACCCGAGGGCCAGACATGCTCTCAGCACCTTTGTAAGGGACCCGATAACCTGCTCCAGCCTCTTTGAAGGAGAGCCGGGAACACCTGATCGGGCCCCGCCGACTTAAAAGGTCGGAAAGAGCCAATCGCCCATCTGACCATAGTTGGCCTTACAATTTCGGCCGCTAGTTTCCAATCGCTGGCACGTGCCCTGAAGGGGCCCATGTCAGCCTCTCCGCACCTATCCGCATCCCTCCGGAAACCAGGAAAACTAGTCTCCAGAAGATGCACCAGGCATTTCTCTCCCGATACCATGGTGCCGTCCGACATTCGGACCGCTTCCAACGCTGCCTCCGGGTTCTTGGATAGAAATCTGCAAAGCCTGGTGGTGGCTGGCATGCCCTCCACCGACTCGCAGAAGTCCCTCCAGCTCTTCCTCTTCGCCTCCACCACAGAGTCTCTGTACTCCTTCTGGGATCTCTTGTAAAGACCCCAGTCAGAGGGTCGGCCAGTGTTCCTCGCCTTGTTCCAAGCCCTTCGAGCCTTGACCCTAAGACCCTGCAGTCGTGGGTTCCACCAGGGAGTTCCCCTGTTGTTTGTCACCGTGCTGGCCGGGCAGTTTTCTTCGTAAGAGCCAATCAGAGCCCTCTGCAGATAATCCACACAGAGCTCTAACTCCTCCGCCGTGCCGTACTTCTTGGGAAAGTCCCTGAGGTTGATTCTCAGGTCTCTTTGATAGGATACCCAGTCCGTCCTCTTTGGATTCCTCACCTTCTTAACCTCCACTTTGAGATCTGAAAGTTTAAAGGTTATTTGCCTGTGGTAGGAGAGCGAGGGCTCATCCGATACCTTCCATTCCCTCACCTTTCGCACGAATCC